AAAAAAAAAGAGGGAGCCGGGGAGAAGACAAAAAAAGGGGCTGCTGCTGGAGAAATTAAGAAGAAATTGCAGCTGCCATTATAGATTCCACATGCCAACTAGGGAGAAAATTGGAGTGGAAGACGTCGGCTACGGTTGGAGTATAAAAGGCAGCTGCTTGGAAAATTGTTGAGGGATTCACATATATAATTGGGCACCTTGAGTGGAAAAGAAAGTGGAGAAATTGAAAAGGAATTGCGGCTACCTATTATTTATTTGAAAAGACAGAAAAAAGAAAATTGAGTTTCTGAAATTGAATGAATATACACATTGGGTGGCTGAATTATTTAATCTAGACACAAAGTTGGTGATTGCAAGGGTGAAATTACACATGGCAAAAGTCACAGAAATTGGAAAAAAATAAATACACGCTCGGCCTTTACAATTTAATCACTTCCCGTCGATTTTCGGTGATTTCCTTCCACTTTTATTTTTCTAATTTCAACAGTATGCCAGGCTAATTTTTCTCCAGTATTGGATGAATGACAAAATTGTTTAATTTTTAGTTTTAGTTCGAGACGTGTTTTTATTTTAATTCTTGTGTTGTGATTTCATTAATATACTTATTTACATTGTTTTAATGTTTGCGCACCATTATGACAATAAGTTGCTTATTTGTTGTGTTGGAAAACTCACGATAGGTAGAACACTATTATTGAGACGCAAGGACAATAAATGTTAGGAATAACATTTGTGACGTGTACGATCATATGTGATAATCCTAAATATCAATGCATGTTTGCCATATGAATTCGGATTAGGAATAGAATCGTCTCGTGGTAATTATAGGTTTTTTATATCTTGGGAAAGAATAATAAATAATAGTGGAATTATTGATCGTTGTAATTGCATGAATTGAGATAATTATCACTGGTTGAGAATTAGAATTAAGAATTGATCAGTGGCGTCGGATATCCAATACGTTTGCACATTTGATTTTTAAACCAACTTTCACTGTTTTCACAAGTGTTAGTTATCAAAATTATTTAGCTATTCCTTCGATCGTCTTTCGGTTATAAACACGAATTTAAATATATCAAATATACTAGAATTAATTATTATTCCCTGCGGACGACAATTCTCTCATCACGATTATTACTTGTACAACGAACCCGTACGCTTGCGGGAATTTGACGAACAATTACCAGTCACATTTTCTTCCTGCATCAAAGGCGACTGATAATAGATACGAGAATCCTTACTTTCTTTTGACCACCCCTCCCTCCTATTATATTAAGCCTTTAGGTTAAATTTTTTATTCCATTGTTCGCCACCACCCGAGAAGCAAAAGATTTGAGAGTCTAGGCTGAAAATACATGCATAAATAGTGGTCTAATGCCAAGTATAATAAAGTTGTTAAGAAACAACCTGTGAAATATTGAATGAAAAATATTAGACTTTAAAAGTATAACAAATATTAATTAGATTTTATATATGATTAATATATCATAATTCAAGAGAAATGCACATGAAATCTCCTTAGGAAAATGATGCTGGAGAGTGAGAACATGATACTACAATGGGTAGAGCTCATATATTTCGCCCATGTTTGGTTGTGTTAAAAATAAAAAAATTTAGTAAATTTTGATAAATATTGATGAAATATGTAAATAAAATATTGATAAAAGTTATGGATAAAATCTCCTTAGGAAAATGATGCTGGAGAGTGAGAACATGATACTACAATGGGTAGAGCTCATATATTTCGCCCATGTTTGGTTTGTGTTAAAAATAAAAAAATTTAGTAAATTTTGATAAATATTGATGAAATATGTAAATAAAATATTGATAAAAGTTATGGATCTCATGAAATATATGATTAGAATTAATTATTTATTTTGGTTTAAATTTTTATCAACTTTTTCAGCATAATCAAACATCGACTTCGTTTTCACGGTTTGAGCAATCCCCAATTTCTACGAACTTCCTTCCCGCACTATATATATATATATATAGTAACATCGTACTAATTGTCTCAATCTTACCACCACTGACTCGATCAACTCACCACCTCAACGCAGGTTTGCAATTTTTGGTATTTCTGCTAGATGCGGCTTATGATTGCTGAACTTAAAAAAAATCAAATTTACTGTTCTTATTTATAAATATTTTTGAATATGATACATTTTCTTTTTCTTATTTAGAGGTAAAAAATATTACTTTTTTTTTAATTTATTTTTTAATATGTTTGATGGTAAGGTAATTACTTAACTTTAATATAAGACCCTTAAAACCAACTTTGACCAAGGAAAAGTTGTTTATTTAAAACGGAGTCACTTAGTTTTTAAAGTTTACACCCAACACATAATATTTGAACTTTTTTTTCTCAATTCTATCAAATCTAGCATAGCAAAATGATAATAAAGCGAATGGAACTCGCTAATTATAGGGTCAATCATGAGATCCGATTTTCTTAGCATCTTCTGCAGCATGGCAGCAAATACGTAGGCATGCTTTCGAAAACTTCCTGCAGCAAAGACGGCAACGTCGAATACCTTTTACAGGTGGTTTTGGAACGGGCTTCGTAATCGGAATTGTAATGGGCTTCGGAATCGGAATTGTAATGGGCTTCAAAAAATCGGGAATCTTGCTTGTATTTGTATTCACTTTATTTTTCTCTACTGTTGCTTGAGCTGCATGAACCATATATGCTACTGAATTAGTTTACGTTAATATACAAATTTTGAGATGCTCAAAAGGATAACTTACTCGTGTCGTTGGAGGCGGTAGCAGTCACCATGGAGGCAACATCGTATATTATGAACAAAGATAGGAGTAGGTAGAGAATTGCCTTCTTGGGAAACATTATGGTGTCGGAAATAAATATTTTACGTTGCTTTGTTGTATTGCAGACACTGATTTAAGTATAAATGAGTCGAAGATTAGGCCTCGTTTTATAGGAGAGGACGAAGGAAAAGAAATGGAAGTTTCCCTCTCTGATCCATCGACGCCAACGTTGAAAAGAAACCAAACAAATAGAAGGTTGGTGGAATGTCAAACTAAAATGTAGCAACAATGATTGTTGTGCTATGGTCTCAATTCTCGGATTCTTCCTCAATAATATACTAATATTTGAACCTTTTTTTTTTTT